CCCTCATCAGGTCTCCTGTCTGCTGATTGGTCAGCCGATGGTCAGCTGGTTGACCTACTGAGGGGTCAGTATGGGGCAAACAGCACCGGTGTGTGTGCGGAGCAGATGGGGGGGGGTGCCGGGTGGAGCAGCGCCTGGCTGTGAAACAGCGGGGGGGCGGCGGGCGTGAGCGGGAAGGCGGGCATGGTTGCCATGGCAGCGGCGGCGGCGGCGGCGGAAAGATGGCGCTGCAGCAGACAGGAGGCCAGAGGTTTGCTCAGGTCCTGGCTCTTTCGGAGGGTCAGACGTATCTGGGGGGGGGGGGGTACACACAAACAGCCTGTTGTAGTCCAGGAAACAACCCCCCCACACACACACACACACTAAGGTTGTCACGATACTAAAATTTTCAACTCGATACTCGATACCATTTTCGAAACCACAGATTAAAAAAAGACCCCAAAATTTAAATGAATTTTGACAGGTTAGTGTCAAACTAACCTGTTACTAATGTTATCGTGACTGGTGGCCTGCATTAATAACCCTAACCCTGACCCTAACCCAAACCCTAACCCTCCACCCTTCATAATTGTGAGAAATAAATATTTTTTGGTTAAACTTGTTTGGACTTATTGTACAAACCTATTTAACATCCACTATTTTAACATAATAATATGTATAGAGTTTAATTAAGTGTTTGAAAGATTAATTTCACAATTTTTAAATGAATCTCTATATTGCCATGAGGCAATTAGGATTTTCTTGCCTGGAATCTTCCTATTGTTAATGTAACTATAATGGCCGACTTCGATGTGGGCGGAGTCGGATATGTACTTGATTAATGGTAGCACGTTATTATTAGCCATTAGCCGAAGGTAGCAGTTAAAGGATAACAACTTGTTAATGACCATAAACAATGTAAAAAAATATATAAATAAATCTGAGAGAAGGGGGGCAGTGACGGCAGGTCAGCGTCGCGCGGTGGTATCAATACTTTTGAAAATGAGTATCGTATCCGGATACAACAT